CTATTTATACCGAGCTTTCCAAACGAGGGTTTTTGAGTTGTAGAATACTTTATTTATAGAAAATATAATCAAAATTGCTCTATTTTGCAAGGTTCTATGTATGTGAAGTACATTTAGTATATACCTCATGTATCAGATGGCGTGATATGCATGTTTTATATGCGATTTGATATGAGAATTGTAAATGCCAAAGGAGGTCTAGTTATTAGAATAGTAGAAATCGTTGGCTGAATGCCAAATGTAATATTCAATGGGGCATTGTGACACACGAATAACTCTGCAGGGATATTACAATATCTATGATTCTATTTCGCCGAAAATGATAGGCATCCAGACTTACCGACAACTGTGGGCTCTAAGTCGACAAACACTGCCCTTGGGACGTGTTTTCCTGCCCCTGTCTCGCTGAAGAAGGTATTGAATGAGTCATCGCCACCTCCAATTGTTTTGTCACTTGGCATTTGACCATCAGGCTGGATTCCGTGCTCAAGGCAGTACAACTCCCAGCATGCATTGCCCATCTGGACGCCGGCCTGTCCCACGTGGATAGATATACATTCTCTCTACAAAAATTAAAGATGGTTAGTATCGGATTTGGTTGCATCGCAAAATATACTGGCATGACCCATCTCCAAAATGTTGGCCAATTGGGTTGAATTGAGGTTCGTTTTTCCATAAATGAAATAGCAGGGAATGCTGTACATTAATTTTGGACCACCTTTGGGTGATACGCCCAATTCCAAATGCCCCCTCCAGTCCGGCAGACAATTATGTATCAGGTTTCAGGGGCGTATCCGAAAACCAACAGGGGGGGCATTTCTAGTCTGAAAAAGTCCTTTGACTTCTAGTCAGTCTGTTGGATACATACTAGGGGGACACTCCTTCAAATCCGCCAGTTGATTTATAAAAAATGAATACCTTTCGCGGTGCTTAGTTTTCACATTCTAACGCTAATTTCTAGCATGGAATGTAATCCAGTTCACGTGTAATTATGGCGGTAGATCAATAAAGAATACAATGACGCATCATTAATAAAGATAAAAACAGAATACTGCCCAATATGTCATCATTTGCTATTCATTCAAATTATATTATTAGAAAAAAGTAGAACGAAAAGTATCTAACACAATACTCACCATGTTGATTTATTTATCTCTGTATCGTAAATTGTATTTCGTGTAATGGCTTTGTATCGCTCTGAGTCTCACTTGGCCTATTCGGAAGCGCTGTGAGTAATGATAACCGTTGCTAAACAACACTGCCTTTTATACCATCGCCTATACCGTCGCTTAGGACCTGTGCATACATTGGCTAACAAGGAGCTTAGGCCACACAAATTATACTTTGTTTTATGTCTTCTTCTGCGACGAACTTTGTACGATTTAGCGTAAATCAGAAAAACAAGCACAGTCAAATGGTATTAATATGAAGCCAAATAAACACCCTGCTGGTAATAGAACAAACGTTTCATGACAGTCGGTTTGGTCTACGTAAAAATCAGAGGCACCATTGAATAGTTGTAACCAAACACTAAACTAAAAGGTTGCAAGAAAAAAACAATTGCAAAGTGCCGTGCGTAATAAGGGAATGATGACAGTCTCAGGGAATAATTTGGACACCTATCAGTCTACGTCACATCAGTCTATCACGGGTAATGGCACATCTTTGGAAATTCGTGGTTTTCACCATAATGAATTGTGCCGTTTATGCTCTATCGTGGTCACATTTTATTACTAAATTGTATGTAATTTTAAATTTATAATAATTGATCCCTGGTACAAACAGTAAACCTCGATCGGAACTTAGGAATGTGTGTATATTGTGTATTTTCCGAGGCTGTGGTTACTTGTATCAATAATCAATATACTGTATTCTTAAGGTATGTTTGCACGGTGTATAGACGGGTGAATAGTTTGTGTTACTTGGAATGTACATGCGATATATTAATGGTCGTGTGGAACTTTGACACTCTTTCATTTATGAATACCATACTAATGAGTATGTTAAATGATACTATAGTTATGTCTTATTTTTGTATTCTCCTGTGAGAAATTGGTACAGATCAGTGTTAAAGCCTCGATTTGATTGGTTGAGGAAATCTAGTCAAAATGGAAAACGTTGCTGGAATGGAAATCCTATTTGGCTTATTGTTGAATTATCCCCTGCAAGATTTCATGGGTCGTTAAACTAAGCATATATTCCTTAGGGCCTATTCGCTTGGTAAACCTTTGAAGGAAAGAACGTAGATTGGCTAGATTTATTTATAATGCTTTGTGAGCAGCAATGTGTTTGTGAGTTAGTAATGTAGTTCATTGTATGACTCTGGAATATGATCTGAAGATCCGTAGCAAAATATAGGGCAACAACATTCGAACCAATATTTAAGGAGGTCCATGCATCTTAATTTTTTTTTAAATACTGTTGCTGACAAAACTTTGGACTTTCGACATAGATATGGCTCTCATCACAAGGGGTAAAACCGTTAAACATTTTCATTTGAATTTTTACACATTTTATAAGACCCAAAAACCTTGCACTTGATCGAAGCATTTTTCAATGGATTTGATTATCATTATGAAAATATCAATTATATTTTAATGTAATTGTCAGTGCTTATTTAATGTAGTTAAATAATTGTGTTTTTAGTTTTTGTTTAATTTTCCAAGTATTGGTCAAGAAATTTCAACAAAAGAGTGTGAATTATTTTATTAAATTCATAGTTTCAAACATATACAATTTTATTTAAATTTTGGGTGAAAACCAAAACCATTAATTTTTCTCAAAGCTTTATGAATTCGACCAGGTCTTGGTGGTTGTTTTTTTAACCGACAGAGCACTATCAAACTGGAGGCAAGACAGTTTTAGCTGTAGCCACAGTTTAGTCACGGAAGAGCAACTAGTCCCCATTTATTGATAATTGACCCCTGAAGATGACAGTCTATATTTCAAAACATATCAGGACCCTTTAAATTTTCTAAATCTACCGTTATTTAAGCATATGTCATTCTAATATAAAAACGATTTATTGATACAATTTACATTCACCAATATTGAAGAAACAATTTAAAATGTTGATGTACCGATTTAGTTATTTGTTTGTATTTTAAAGTAAATTCAAAGTTATAGCTGAGAAACCTGAAACATACATTAAACTATTACCAGATTACATGATATATGTTTGCGTGGTAAGAAATGTCACTGGTTTCCTAATTTTAGTCTCATGTTATTTTCAATAACACAAAGCTCACTCCATAGATGGTACTAGTCTCAGTTTTACCAAAATATACTGTTCATATCGTTTATCAGCCACATATCCTAGTATATGATATAATAAACGAGTTTTTAATATTCTTAATTTTTTGATCATCGTTGTCATCGGATAAACCAATTATCAGATCATTTTTAATAACACAATTTTATTGCAGATGACGAAATTATTTACTGTGCTTTGTTTATTTTTTTGTATTGATGTAGTTATTAGTAACGCATATAGGATACATTCTGCATGATAAATTGTACTCTAATGTAAAGGGCATAATGACCTGAAGAAATCATTTATTGTTTGTTTATTTGTTTTAGTATTAATGTAGTTATTGGTAATGCATGCGATACATTGTGCACGTACAGTATGTACACATACAGATTTGAATGTGACTAGCCAGTTATATGGAATGTACTTTACATTTTGAAAATATAAATAGGGGCTGAGTGCTCATCATTTTCAACTTTGTCGAGGGGTTCTTTTTATAAGAAACAATTCACATGTACTGTCCTTAGTTCCCGCTGTGTATATAGCTTCACACCACAGTAAATCGATATTACTATGGCATGTATTACTAGGTACACACAATATATTATACCGTAGATTAAGACAATGTAAGTCGAGAATCACCAGGCGACCACTTATTGACAATCGTTTGTGAAAACAGAACACGTACGCGTCATATCGAATCTGTGTATTGTTCCTAAAATAGTGGTGATACCTGTAGAAAGCTAATCGTTATTTATATAAACCTGGCATCATTTACTTTTTACTGGGAAAACTGTTCCTTGACGATAGGCCTGCTTCTCTTGTATAGCCTTAGGGTAACATGTACGTTAACAGTACCACCAGTCTGTCTCTTGTACATGTCAAATAAAACATTGCTATTCAAAATCTTACTGTCATTGACATTGCCTGTCAAAATGGAACTCTAGATTGTAGATTCAAATGAACAAAGGCAAGATATTTCTCAAGAGCATATTGGCAAACAAACAAAAAAACAATGAATCACATATTCATACTTGGAACGTGTTATTTGAGTGAGTTGAGTGCATGTAGTTTGCAGATACGCCATCTTTTATCAATGTATGGGCGGTTATAACCTACTGGCAACAGTTTAAAAGATAGCAGATTCGGGGTCAGAGCCCGGGGATGGGAATTTTTGACCAGATTTATTTTTTTCGGGGTTGAATTGGCTCATGCTCATGCATTGGCTTATTCATGGTCACATGCAATGGAATAGATGAACTTATTTCATAGAAAGTCCAAAATCCCTGCTAATAGGGAAAAAGAAAAGAACTAGGTCACGTGACTAGTCATTGGTACTTTCTATCTTCCTTACCACAAATATTATAGGGGTTGAATGGCAAAATGCTTTCAGATAGGGATAACATATGAGTATTGGGTTTAAGGAGGAATAATACTGTACGGGAATAATAAATCTTCTCTAAGTGAGTTGCGATGTCCTGGTTATGACATAAAAATGTTGAAATTATACGAGGGGTTCTGTTGAATCAAACTGGTTTTATACAGCTGAATGCAAGCGGACATTGTCCGGAAGAGGTAAGTTTAATCACGTACATCTCAGGGTATCTACGCCATGTCAAAGATGAGATATCTCGATATTTTCTGTCTTGTCTCAATATTTCTTTATTTAATAATATGTTCACGACAGAGGCATTGTTCAATAAAATTTCAACTTTATTCGAGGTTCAATTCATTGTTTAGATTACAAAAGATCACATGAAATTGGAATTGAAGTTATACTTCACCTCATTATTATAGAAGTCGCTAATAATATGTGCATTTGATATTTCCTGAGTTTAGCACAAGCTCAGTGTTTAGTTCATTAAATGCTTTTGACAGTGCATCCTTCGTATTCCAGGGTTACAGAATCATACACTAAGTGGAAGGAACTTTGTGTTCGATTCTGTAACCCAGGGTTTCGGAGGATATCGCCAGCGTTGATGTGTAACAAATGTTCGGAAAATCATTTATACAGTTTACATTTTGCATGTATATGATAAATCTAAAATGTAGATTAAAATGTAGATTCCATTTTTGCCAATTAATTGTACTGGTAAAAATGTTCTTAGTGTAGGTTTAATAGTCCACAACATTTCACTTGTGCAGAATAAAGTATTTAGTATTCTTCTCCTTCCTCTTCGCCTTCACCATCAACAGAGTCAACTCCGACCTCTTCGTAGTCTTTCTCCAGGGCAGCCAGATCCTCACGGGCCTCAGAGAACTCTCCCTCCTCCATACCCTCTCCGACGTACCAATGGACGAAAGCACGCTTGGCGTACATGAGATCGAACTTGTGGTCAAGACGAGCCCAGGCCTCAGCGATGGCGGTGGTGTTGCTCAACATGCATACAGCACGTTGGACCTTGGCGAGATCACCTCCAGGCACGACAGTGGGTGGTTGGTAATTGATTCCAACCTTGAAACCAGTTGGGCACCAGTCGACAAACTGAATGGTACGCTTGGTCTTGATAGTAGCAATAGCTGCGTTGACATCTTTAGGGACAACGTCACCACGATACAACATGCAGCAAGCCATGTATTTGCCGTGACGGGGATCGCACTTCACCATCTGGTTAGCCGGTTCAAAACAAGCGTTTGTGACCTCAGCGACAGTTAGTTGTTCATGGTAAGCTTTCTCGGCAGAGATGACCGGAGCGTAGGTGGCCAGAGGGAAATGAATACGAGGGTAGGGTACCAAGTTGGTCTGGAACTCTGTCAAGTCAACGTTCAGGGCACCATCGAAACGCAGTGAGGCAGTGATGGAACTTACAATCTGACCAATTAGACGGTTCAAGTTAGTGTAAGTTGGTCGTTCAATGTCCAAATTACGTCGACAGATGTCGTAAATAGCCTCATTGTCGACCATGAAAGCACAATCGGAGTGCTCGAGGGTGGTATGGGTGGTCAAGATTGAATTGTATGGCTCGACGACAGCCGTGGATACCTGAGGTGCAGGGTAAATTGAGAACTCGAGCTTGGACTTCTTTCCGTAGTCGACAGAGAGACGTTCCATCAACAAGGAGGTAAATCCAGATCCGGTACCTCCACCGAAGGAGTGGAAGATGAGGAATCCCTGAAGACCAGTGCACTGATCGGCCAACTTCCTGATGCGGTCTAAGACGAGGTCGACAATCTCCTTACCGATGGTGTAGTGACCACGTGCGTAGTTGTTGGCGGCATCCTCCTTACCAGTGATAAGCTGCTCGGGATGGAACAGTTGGCGGTACGTACCAGTGCGGACCTCGTCTGAAAATACAAAAATAATGCCTAAAGCGTGATGGATTTTAAGATAAGATAGCTAGTAACTTGATTACTTGCGAACTGTGGTGCTATTGCTCATTTTTAGAGTTATCCAACTTTACATTTTAGATGAGGAGTAAATTATATAGGTTCAAATGTTTTAATTTGCTGCATACCTTTGGTATTGTCAAATACATGTAATGGATCTACAGAGAACAGAAGTAAGATTATCTCTTCCCTTTAGACATATATTCAAAACCTTGGATTTTGTTAGTTAATTAGTAATTTCGTTCTTGGACTACCCTAAATTAAAGAGAGGAATCAATGTGAGTAAGTGTGATAACTTTATTACTCTCTTCATTTATTCGATCATTTATAAACCTTATCACAAAGGTAGCATCACAAATACAGGGCCAAAAATGTATTGGCTTATGCCACGTCTATGTTGTAATAATAAAGGAACCACAAAAACTATAACTTCTTCAATTCCTACAGTTTTTGGAACAAGTTTCCACTTACCACTTAAAGAGGGCGGTAAAGTTGCAAAACTGTTATAATGATTTAATGTGGCACTACTGAAGGAATAACTATCAATATCCGAGGCATTGAAATGTCTATAAAAACTAAATATAAGCTATCAAGGAACAACAATGTAATGTTATGTGGAAAATAAGTGTGTATTTCGATACCTAAACGTATTTTCTGTTTGTAACACAGTGTGACCTTTTGTGTTTCAAATGATACGTGCGTGCTAATACTTCCTTATCACGTTATCAAAAGGTTATTTTGGGGTTTCGTGATAGTCTTACATTTCCATTGCCTCAGATTGTATACTAGTTTAGCTTCTTTCACACAGATGGTACCTTATGAACCGCATGATTCATCCATACAAGCCTGAATAAAAATCAATATGGCGCATTATTGATCCAAGACGTGTTAATATGAAACACACTAGCATTTTCTCGACGGTTCTATATCGACTTTTTATGAGAGACTCAAATACAGACAATAAATATAATCGGCCTGTTATTTCGTACATCAAGGAAGTACATGTTATTGGTTGAAAATATCCAAGCAAAGGTGGAATACATTTTTAATATGTGATATGACAAACTGTTAACAATTAGTGTATTCTCTCAGTCACATTGATTAATACTTATTACGTTTTTCAGCTATATTCAGAGGAGCTAATGTCTTTGTTATTATGTACATAGCGTTATATTCAAGCTAGCGCGCAATGACCCAGGAAGAACTTGTCTGAGTCCTCGTTCCATTTTGACATATTACAATATGGTACCGATATGGAATGCAATTAGTAGAATGGTTTCCAGTGACGTCATACCATATTATTTAGTTCATCAACAACGTGAAAATATGTCTGTTTTGTTCTGCTTATCTTTTTTACTTGTCGTCACTATTTAAAGATTTGCAACAATTACAAATCAAAGTTATCAGACAAGAAGAAATACAATCGTTAATCATGAATTTACTAGAATACAAGTGTCAACATGACATGTCCAAAGCCTATACTCAAACAAATTGCAACCCACTTGTCGAAGACAACTCATTTACAGTTCTAAAAAGGGACCATCCCCCAATAAACAATGTCTCTCATAGCATTACCTATATACCATGTACTTAATAATATTGTATTATTCTTAATACAGTAGCTTTTCGTTTTTTGACATTGGTGACAGGGGTGTAGCCAGCTTTCAGTCAGGGGTGCGATCGCCCAAAAGTTTAGATTTTCAGCCAGGTCGTGCCATAATCAAACCAAAAGATTAAGATTTATCTTGAATTTTACAAAAATTGATGCAAATTCCTTCAGAAGATTTGAATAAAAAGCATTTTATCTCATGTTTTTTATTTTATTTGTTATGTGTACAATCGCACCAATCGCCCCCCCCCCCTGACTACGCCTATGGGTGAATTCATCATTTGCAAGATAGTTTTGCCATCGAATTCATTGTAAAATGTAAATTAATCAACTATTAATCAAGTGCTGGTATATGTTAATTGATCAGTCGTTTAATTGGCATATTTTCTTGAATTTTAACATTTAATGTCCCAAACTCCCACAAACTGCAGAAAAGTATACCCCATAAATCATATTTACCAAAATGAGTGTCTCCAAGGCTTCACACCAGCGTATGCATAATGCATTTTTCACGAGTTTGAGCTGAAATTTCGCCAAAATGAAGTAGGCTAAGGGTAGTCTCTGCCAGGTTTGTTTATTGTGGCAAGCTTGTAAGTGCTCGGAAGCAAATAATTCACGTGCGCAAAGTAATCAAATAATTTAATTGGTCTAAACTTTGCTGCACATGCGCACAATGTGTGCCATGTTTTTTTCTAGTGATTTCGTTTCGTTTCATGGAGTTTGCGTTTCAGTGTAACTTCCGCAAAAATGGCCGACCATGGACAGAATTAACAGGTAAAATCACTTCGAAATTTCAAGAGAACTTTTTACCTATAATTGCAAAACTTTTGTTTTATTTGTGCATTCTATCTATCAGATAAGAGTTTCAGGGGTATGCAGGCAAATTCATTTTGGTATGAACACTCTTTTTAGTTTGAAAACGCACCCTATATTATTATATATCAGCACTGTAATAAACAAGTGGTTAAAACTTGACAAGCTTTACAATCGAACGCTCCAGCTAAAATTCTATTGAATTCCCTTTCAATTATACAATAATTCAATATTGTAGTTCAATATTGATATTCAACATTTACTTTTTACTAAATTGAATTGAAGAAGGAACTTATGAATCAAAATCGCAAGGCGTCTTTTATTACACCAGCCCTATAGGCTGGGCTTTTAATTTTGAGTTGTAGAATATTTTACTAAATGAACGTGTTTTCAGAATTGCCCAGTTTTCCAAGGTTCTATAAATGTGGAGTACTGCTTATTCGAGTACATCATGTATTAGGTGACGTGATATAAGTATTTATATGCGATTTGAAATGAGTTATTGTAAATGTCAAAGGAGGTTTAGTTATTAAAATAGTGGAAATGGCAGGTTGACCGCCAAATGTAATTTTAAATTGGGTAGAGTTCGTCAGATGTTTTGTGTGAGGGAATAGAGAATCCATACTAACCGACAACTGTGGGCTCTAAGTCGACAAACACTGCCCTTGGGACGTGTTTCCCTGCCCCTGTCTCGCTGAAGAATGTGTTGAATGAATCGTCACCACCTCCGATGGTCTTGTCACTTGGCATTTGACCATCGGGTTGAATTCCATGCTCAAGGCAGTACAACTCCCAGCATGCATTGCCCATTTGGACACCGGCCTGCCCGACGTGGATAGAGATACATTCCCTCTACAAAAATTATATTCGATTAGTATAGGGTGTGATGTGCATGACATGTCTCCAAAATGTTGACTTATTTTAGAGGCTAGGGTCCGTTTTCCATATGTTAAAGAATGGAACCCTAAATAAGTCATGTCTTATGTATGGGTCATATTTGCTCCGATACATCGGCAGGCGCCCGACCGAAATCAATAAAATACTCAATCGGGCGGGCGCCGGGAAATGAATCGGGGCAAATGTGACCCGGGCATTACAAAGGTTACTGCGTCCCCTTACCCAATCTGGTTCGCCAGACAAGTATGGCGGGAGATCGATAAAATGAAATTGACTCATCATTGCACCGAACTAGCTTTAATATAGATACAACAAAAAGACTTCCCGTTATTTGCTATTCATTCCATTATTATTAGAAATAATAGTAAATGAAAAGTAATATAACACAATACTCACCATGATGATTTACAAAGAAGTATTTCGGGATGGTAAATTGGATTCCGTGCAATCGCTGTGTATCGCTCACACTTGGCTTATTCGGAAGCGCTGCGAGTATTGATAACCGTTGCTAAACAACACAGCCTTTTATACCGTCGCTTTGAGCCGGTGCATACATTAACTAATAATAAGGAACTTCGGTCACAATTAGTAGATTTGTTTAACGTCCTCATGCAGGTACGATTTAGAGTAAAACAGAAAAACAAACCTATCCAAGTATAGCGAATATGAAGCCAAATAAAAATCTCGGTGGTCTAGATCTAAAGTATCAAATCGAAGGCATAAACTAGAAATTATAGCACGTCTTAAAATCTGTTCAATGTATTTGGTTCCTGGAATGGCGATACCTGTAGTAAGGTAGCGTTCCGCCCCACCCTCGATATAGCAAGTAGTTAATTGTATCATTACATTGACATCCTAACCTTTTTAAAGGTACGTTCACACCAACGGCGAATGCCACGCTTTAAATCGGCGAGCAAAGCGCCGTCATTTTTGTCATTTTTCTTCATACCAACGGCGCTTTGATGGCGCTTTAAAGCGGCTTGTAAAGCGGCACCAAAGCGTAACAAAGCTTGATTAAAACGTCGGGGTCGTAATAGGTCGTAGAAAAGCTCAAAGTAAAGCGGGATATTCGGCAAGAGCGCCAAAAAATGTTAAAATTTTTTAAAATTTTGGGCGCTCTGTTACGAATCGATTAAGCGCCGAGAGCGTATCAAAGCTTAACAAACCGTAACAAAGCTCAGAAAAGCTTGATCCAAAGCGTAGGAAAGCTTAACATAGCTCTGATAGGTTCCTCACGCTTTGACCAGGCTTTGTTACGCTTGAAATCACGCTTTGATAAGCTTTGATAAGCATTATTACGCTTTGATGCGATTATGACGCTTTAAATCAGGCTCTGATACGATTGCCAAGCTCTGTTGTGCATTGTTACGCTCTGTAAAGCTCTGTCACGCATTGGAAAATGTCGAGATCGCCGATTTCATGCCGCTTTTGATCCAATGACTATATAAAGATGCAGTAGATCCATAAAACCATTGCATCTTTGACTCGAGAACACGATGGCAGACCAACAAGATCCAGAAATTCCAGATGGACCAGAGCATGACCTATCTGAATAAGACATGATGTTTGACGCACGGCGTGAAAGAGCGTGAGAGAACATGAGGAAGCTTGTCAAGCGTAACAAAGCCTAACAAAGCGTTTCAATTCTTGATGTGAGCGTCTCAATTTGTTTGAAAGCTTGAGAGTCCTTCATGAAAGCGTAACAAAGAGTGTCAGATATTGATGAGAGCGTCTGCCCTCGTGTCAGATCTTCATGCCAGATCGTAACAAATCTTGAGACATCTTAACGAAGCGTGTAAAGTAGTAACAGACCGTGAAGAGACTGGGGTCCCCGCTTTGAACCAAGCTCTGTTAAGCTTTCCTACACTTTGGGTCAAGCTTTGCTGAGCTTTGTAACGGTTTTTTAAGCTTTGATACGCTCTCGGCGCTTTAATCAATTCGTAACAGAACGCCCAAAATTTTTAAACAGTTTAACATTTTTGGCGCTCTTGCCGAATATCCCGCTTTACTCCGAACTTTTCTACGACCTATTACGACCCCGACGCTTTAATCAAGCTTTGTTACGCTTTGGTGCCGCTTTACAAGCCGCTTTAAAGCGCCATCAAAGCGCCGTCGGTGCGAACGCTTAAACAGTTTAAATTTTTTAGCGCTCTTACCGAATATCCCGCTTTACTCCCGAGCTTTTCTACGACCTATTACGACCCCGACGCTTTAATGAAGCTTTGCTACGCTTTGGTGCCGCTTTACAAGCCGCTTTAAAGCGTCATCAAAGCGCCGTTGGTGTGAACGTAGCTTTAAGAAAACCGTTCCTGAAGGATAGACCTATTTCTTTAGTATAAGCTTGGGGTAATAAACAGTAAACATAAATCTGTCTCTTGTCATATAAAATATTGATATTCAAAACCTTGCCGTTATCGTCACGTGTCAAAATGGAACTCCTGATCAAATTGAATAAAGGCAAGGTAATTTCTCAAGAGCAAGCAAACAAACGAATAGAAAACAATCAACGAATCGCATGTTCATACGTTGACAGTGTTTGAGTGATGCGCATTGTTTGCAAGTACGCCATCTTTAATTCAAAAGTGTCGGCAATTAAAACCTACACTGGAAAGCAGATTCGGGGTCAGAGACCAAAGCCCGGATGGGGAAATATTTGACCAGACTGCTCCCATACAGGGTGGGTAATTGACTCATTAATTTGACCCTGTCCTCAGTTTAAGGAATATAAACAACAATAAACAATATACATAATAACGTTCTGTGTATTGCATCTACGTGTATCAATGGAAATCATTGTTCGTGTATTTATTCTATTTTTCATTTATTTCGAAATTCCAAATCGAATTAATGGCAAACTGGGAATAACTTTACAAGATACACAAGGTCCGTTTTATTTTTGATTGGGAATGAAGTTCGGGCAAAACTCATATTCCTGAATATCACACGGGCATGTCACTCGATAATACTCGGGCATCTTTGGTTTCTTTGGTTTTCTGATGACATCTTTCGGAGAATAAAATAAGCTTTGGTAATCCCTGACGTACGGTATTGCATATGTGTACTTCGATCCGTCTTGATTTTTCCCTTTTATGGTTGGTTTAGTACTAAAGACGATACTCTGAGATTTCGGGCATTTACCGTATATTGGGATTCCTTTTCGTTTAACTTTCCTTGTGTAACCCTTGAAACATTCTACGGTACATTGTCGACCATCCAAAGTGCGAGCGCTAGTAGTGAAGCTATGACGCTCACCCTTCCTGGTAGGTTGTTTTACGGGAAAGTAGCCATTGTATATCGGTGTATCTGAAGCAGTACTATACAAGGTTTCTTTCCCGCTGTAATACGCTTCATATTCTCCGAAATACGATTCTGATTTCCGACCTTCATAATCTATGCCTAGTGTCTCGAGAACTACACCGCTGACACCATATAAAGTATCATAGCGTTTCTCACAGTAAATCTTGGCGTTTACAAATGCACAGTGGTCATCACATTGTTGTTTCTTGCTTTCCATTGTGAATGGTTTGCAGCGGTTTGTTTCGGTGTCACAGTACAATATCGCCGAATCTCCACAATCGGGGCACTTGGGCGTACTCTCATATCTGTAGAATATAAGCGTAAATACGGCAGACAGGCCTTGGATGTTACGAATGTTGAGTCCAAGGGAAGAAAAGGGTTGCATGAGTGCTTGAGGTTGATGAGCGGATGGTCCGTAGCTCGTTGGATAATCAGTTGTTGGGTTGTCTTGTATCTTCTCTCTGAATTCTTCCCATATGTAATCAATAAAGGCTCTATGCATCCAGAAGATAGGGTCATTTGGGGCATTGTTAATATCGCTCATGTGACCGCCTACGTAAGAGTGTACTTTCCCGCTGATCTGCTCAACGAGCATACACTCAGCCCCTTCCCCGCATGCAATCTCGCGGTAAAACCTGCGACGAAAAATCGCATTCATATCATCCGCAGTAGGGAGCTGATTAAAACACTTGTTGACATCACGTGTTAGTTTTCTCAAATCAGTCGTCGACCAATTTGCGAATGGTCCTGTAGTGACCGGTCCGTTAGCATTGCCGAGGTAGTATCTACTCCACAGAGAGGAAGAAGCGGGTTCAGTGAGCCCCTGCTCTAACGTTGAATCCCAATACAATAACGTAACGTTGTCGTACTCCCTCAGTGCCAACTCGAAACTGAAATATAACACGTACAAATTGTATTTCTGATTTTTAATTAGTTCAAATTGATTTCATTGAACCTCAACACTTTGGTTGGGTGTCTTATAGCTATTTGTCAAGATAAAGCAATTTCAATGAAACATGGTAGTACCTGCATTCATTAATGCCTTGGTCACATAGGCTCCGATTTTCACTACGGCGCCCGGCCGATGAGTATTTTGTTCAAAATCGGCCGGCGAGCCCGGGCATCGTACGGGCGCCGGGCGATGATCGCCACTCATCGGCCGATTTCAAGACATCGTACGGGCGCCGGCAGAGTTTTATCGCGGAGACAAAAGTTGCCGATGTCTTGGCGATTTTTTCTCAACCAAACTCATCGGTACCTACCCGGCCGTGTCCCGTCCGGTTATCGTACGATTATCTTACGGCGCCCGGTGGCATCACACGGTCATCTTGGGATTTTGCGTGCTGATTTGTTGATAAATCTTAATAATGATTACTTATAAAGTGATATAACGGTTTTAGAAATAATGAGGTAAGGAATTATAATTACTACACACTGTCAGAGATTTTTCATAAAACATAAATGGAACGATTAGGCTTATTGTAAAACAATGACACACATTTGAATGGCTGGGTGGGTGGGTGGGTGAGTTGATCTAGTCGTTCTTATATTGACATTAATCCTGTATGTCTGTCATACACATTGAATAGAGTGATACATTTTTATGCGTATATTCACTCATGCATATACCATTGCAAATCATTTATTTTAAAAATCTTCTGAATGTTTTTGTGAGTACAGTATTTTCAAGGGTCACAATTTTAATACGAAAGTTTACTGTCTCAATTACAGTTAATATGCCAAAGGCTAAAGATAGAGGGGATAAGGTCAATGGACCATATATTAGGAAGGCCTTGGGAAGACAAGTGGAAAAAGACAATAACAATGCTAGTGAACTGGTGGATGATGAAGATTTAGATGTGTCTAGGGAAGAGGGTTTTCCATTTGAAATAAAAGAAAAAATTGCCAATTTTTTTGATGATAGGCCATATTTTTATGACCAAACAAATTTACGAGAACAGAAAAAAGAAAGATGCAGAAATAGGGAATTTTGCTAATAGCATCGGATGGACAGGAAGACATAATATTTGTTTATATGAAAGATCTAAAAATGAATTAAGGTCAGGGTGCACTTTGATGAAAAGACCACGTGCAGTATGGCAAGTGATTTTAGACGGTCATATCTTTCACCATGAGTACTTTCTGGGCATAAATACAGTGTTTTTATTAAAACAATATGTTTTCTTTTAATTGAAGTATCCATGATAGTAAAAATATCAATCAAACAATTTGAAAAATTATGAATAGGGACCCCAAGTCAGCATTTTTTTCTCAATATTGAACCTATTTAGAGGATCTTCTTTTTCCTATTTTTATTGCATGAAAACATTATTATCCTGGAAGTCCTGTCTATCGAAGTATTTCGTTTTCAAATCTTGCATTCATGCCATGTGGAACAGTCAAACTGGGTCATACAACAATTTAGTATAAATCTAGAGGCCTGTAGATCGACCGATGTCCTGGCGGGTGCCGTAGTACGGTACGGCCATCGGCAGATAGCCTTGCGATACCCGCGCGATGTCTTTCAGATTCAATTGATTGCGGACGCCGTACGATGCCTGTACTAATGTGACCATAATCACGATTAGATTAAGACATCGGTGAAAAGTCACCGGCGCCCGGTCGATTTATAAATCGGCCGATGACTACTCATCGGCCGGCGCCCGGCGGCTATGTGACCTAGGCATTAGTAACATATTTCTTTCGACCTGACTTTTCTATTAATATAGCAATGGTCTATTAAGTCACAAATTATTAAGACGCAAAAAAATATAATCAAATGTCAAAAATGAATTATGTGATCATGGCCGTGGTAATGACGAGTGGGCCTATATATGGACCAATCAGGAGCCCAACTATCAAAGATATGGGGGTTATCCATAAATCAAATATAAACTTTACACATTTTTAAATATGAAACGTTACTCATTTGCAAATATAATATGTTCTTAAAAGACAACATTAATATTAATTATAATAATGCTAAGACGAATTGAAAAAGTAACATATTTGGTGACACGATCTTCTGTGTAAATCTTTCTTACATTAGCAAATAAACCCGGTTCCAAGGAAGAGACGCTGCGCCACCATGTGCATTATGGGCAAGATTTGCGTCATGCAGCGTTACCAAGGTATCATATTTGTTGTTCCACTCATCTATTTTATCTGCCTTTAATCTATTGATGGCTCGGTGGAAAGCATCTCGTTCATCCTGACTAGCGCTTCGGTATTCCTTACGGAACCATGGCGTTAAAATGAACCGTTTTGATCTTCCCTGGGCTTTATCTACTGATCGTTTCTGGATCATATCAGTGATTGTTGTCTAAAAGTAATAAAGTAAGATATATGATTGTATCCCATCAAATAGGTCATTTGTGGCCCGAAACGAGGGACTGTATATGACCCATCTTTGGGGTAAACAGAGACGATTTCGTAAACAGTAATGGTTTTATTTTTATTTTTTAATTTATTTCTATCATTCATTAGCATACAAATCAATATTCACTGGGCGAAGTGACCAAATATAAACAATTTTAATCACAAATAATCAGTGAAAAAATGATTATTATCTGGTTAAAACCTATTATCGAGACTATTATTGGTGGTTATCGCTGATTATCAAGACTTATTAATCAACAATAACCGGTGTTTTCACTGGTTATTACGATAATCAGTTCTTATTAATGTGTAGCCAATGGCAAAAATTCCAACTGATTATTATGTCAAGTGATTATTCACCCAACTGGTTATCGCTTTGTTTTCATTAGCAATTAAGAACCGTCTGCCATTTATGCATCTAGAGCTTTTAATTATTATCCGTTGAATAAACAAACTATAGCCTTTGTCTAGCTAAAGAATATGAATTTTTGCGGAATTGAATTTTTTATTCAAACATCATTTTTTTAATTCATTATCAACCGAACAAAAAATAAAAGAAACACATTTTTAGAATTTCATTTAATGTTAGATTTTATTTAGCTGTCCAACTTCAATTACCAGGATTCGAGATTTTTCATTAGCAATTATCATGCAGCAGATTTCTGCAATTCAATCAATAGTTTATACTAATTAGTAGTAATTAAAGAATATCACCAAGAAAATATTTTATCATCGTGTAGAAAGTCCAATCTAAAATCTGGTAAATGTGTTGCGTTTATTGAAGCAATAACGTTGTGATACCACTGTAAAACTATAATTAAAATGTTTGATATGAAATCCGATTGTCAGGAATAAGAAATACACATCAATACTTTTACATAATATCCAGTGTATTGAAATAAGATGTTATAACAAAGGCAATTGAAAAACTTCAATCTCAGTGAAACTAGTAGTGAAACTCCCTGAATCTGTTAAAGGGAAGCTTTCATTCAAGCACTGAAATCTAAGTTTAAGAGGAAGAATTCAGTATCCCGTGTGTTCACTACCCCCTCCCATCCCCAATTATTTAACTATGCTCCAATGTGTTTCATTTCTGAGTTTAATAAATGCAATCAATATGATAGTTCTATATAACTTATTATTACCGTAGAGCAAATGTGCGCAAGGTTAAATTTTAATCTTTTTGAAAAATGTTAATTAGTTGCTTGGATGGTAGATTGTTTGTTTGATTGTTTATTAGCACGATTGATTGCTTGATTGGCCGTTTACTTGCAAACATTCTTTCTTTGTTGCTTTGCTGCTTCCTTGGTTTCTTGCATTAGAGTTTAATTAGCTACTTGCTTGGTTGGTTTGTCGGCTGTTTGCTTGCTTTATTTGTAAGTTGCATGGTTTGCTTTTTTACTTGGTTAGTTTCCTGCTTGCTTGGGTGGTCGTTTGCTTGGTTGCTTGGTTGGTTACTTGCGTGGTTGGTTGCTGAGTTATTGATTTGAAACTTTCTAAATATCCATAAGCGTAGCCAAGGAGGAGGGGGTTGCGAAAACCAATAAAAATCAAACCCTGAGAATGAGGACTCAAAGAGCTTTTAAATGCTTTTTATTTGAAGCTTCTAGCTCACTTTGGAAGGAACTTGCATCCAGTTTTTGTAAAATTCAATATAAAAATCATTTTTGGCTTGTTTATGTCATAATCGCACCCCCTGTTTATGTCACAATCGCACCCCCCCCCGACTGAAAAGCGAAATATTTTTGACAATTGCACTCCCCCTGACTGAAAGCTGGCTACGCCCCTGATATCTGTTATTGGCCATCAATAAACTATATTGATATTGTGAGCATTTATGGGTTTTGATAACAATAGGCTTTATACATGTATAATTAATCAAATTTCATATTGTATCATGTTGGCTAAATCGTTTCAAGTGAAGAATTACTGAATTAAGAACTGTAATCGGGGTTTGCTTAGTTTGAGCCAGGGAACAAAATGTAATCAGACGGACGGATTAATTAATGTTTGTTTTGATAAATGAGTATTATAGGTTATAGGCAGTATCATGGGAACCAAGTAATCGTGTATAGGATTATTTTTTGTTTACTTCAGAATTGAGTGAACCATCTGTAGTTTTAAAATCAAGATCAATAAATACATCTAATCAAGATCAAATATTAGAAATCTATTTTTGACTGGACAAATTCTTGTTCTCGAATGTCAAACAGAACCTTCATTATTATCATTATTGTCGTTATTACATTACTTTTGTACATTATTACATACACAGTAAACGCGACCCGATCGGGGAGTGGATTCAGGTTTTTGTTATCTCTTTATGCATGTTTTATTGCCAAATTAATATAAAAACAAGCTGGAGAAACATAAGTTATTATTTTGTACTTTGTTACCACACGTCAAAAAGCGCATTTGAAGTTCAGAAAATGTAAGAAGACTTGGCTAGACATTATGTACTTATATATTTATATGTTACGTATTTATTTTGTATTCAATTCGAATTCTGTTCACTCGCACTTCCTGAACCACCCCCAACCCTTGGCTACGGGTATAAGTACTTTCAGCACACGGAGAGAATAACATTAGACTTCTGCAATGCAACTACATGTACATGTAATAAGAGACCTAAAATGAAAAAATGTAATGTAAGAATATACAATTGTAGCCCATCACAAAGTTCATTTATTTCATAAAAGCGTCAAGGGACAATGCCTCTAAACACTAAGATAAACAAATTAACTTCCGTAGAAACATCCTGTTGTGGAAAAAAAGGCTTTTCACAACGGATTAGAATAGCCAGTCTGTCTAATTGTATAATATATTACATACATTTTAAATTCCTTTATACTTCTTTTATACAGGTTGATCATTTTATTTAGACAAGAGATTGTATTCCAGCAGTGTCATTTGTAATTAGCCCTTTGAAGTTTAATGAGTCACAATAATCAGTTGGTCGGTTATTCAGTAAAGAAAAAAGTGATTATCGCAAGGCCATGCCTGTTGCCATTATATCTAGCCTTTAAAAGTTATAATTAGGTCAGGATCAGACTGTGTCTGGTTATTAATGATTATTCTAAAAAATTAATCGCTGATTATTATGTGTTAATTCCAACCTGTTTGTCTAGTGATTTCAAAATGAAATATTTCAAAAACGTTAAATACATTTTCTCAATCAACAATGTTTCTAACATATTTTTCATATTCAAACATTACAGACATATTTTTTCTCTCATTCTTTGAAAACTTAAAGTCATGTATAGTTTTCTTTATTACAAGTGACTTGTATAATAACTTTTTATCCAATATTCCCATCCCTATTTTTTCATTATCATTCAAAGCTACATCTTTCCAAATATTTTTAATTCCATTACAATGTATAAAAAAGTGTTCAATATTATCAACTTCGTTACATAGTTTACATAAATCAGATTGTTCTATGTTATATTTTTTTTAATAAACCACCATGTGGATATATACCATGGAAAATTTTCCATTGGATACTTAAAAGACCAGTGTCTGACGTACATTTAAATAGTAATGGTTAATATTATAGTGTGCGATACATTGCTGATTTTTGACTTACAGTTGTCGGCGTGTCAGCAAGCATTTGCATCTTGTCCAGAATAGTTTTAATCCACTTTCGCTGATTTACTGACAATCCAAATCTTCCACCAGATGACGCCGTTGTGCGCCAGTTGATCACGTGATCGCACCATGCAACATACTGTTGAATGCTTAGGCCTTCAACAAAGTTGCATGTGTTAATATTTATGCGATTTATGATGTCTGCAGAGCACTAATCTAAATCTGAAGGACATATGATTTGAGAGAGCGTGTGATAGAACGACCTAAATTACCACTTTAAGTTAAAACAAGAGGCGGCAATAATTGTCTAAGCACCCACCATAATTTCATCATACTCACTGAAGCTATTGGCAATGTACAACTGGTGCTTATCCCCTTCTTAGCTAAAACAATTGGTGTTAATAGAGGCGATAATACCACATTTAAACCGTCGATAAGAACCGTCTTCGAAAGGGCCAATTAACATTTTCAAAGAAAAAATTAAATGCATGGAAAGTTCTCACCTTGGTATGCTCTTTGCCTCTTTAGAGATTCATAGTCATTCTTGCAGTCTCTTCTGCTGTAGATGGTCGAATTCTTTTCATCACACTGGATATCTGATATACGGTTAATAAGTGTTAAAAACAAAACAAAATGTTGAAATTTACAAATTTTCGATGTATTCATACATCTTCATCAGGTAAACACATCTAAATCATGTTTAGTTTACCTTATGAAGATGTATGAATACATCGAAAATGTGTAAATCTCAACATTTTGTTTTGATATACGGATACTATAGCTTATTTCATAATCATGAGGGACTTTATTTTTTGTTTGATTTTGTCTTCCACATATTAAGTGTTAACCCTGATATAACTGGTGGTAAACGGACATGAATGGACAAGGGTAGGGGTGTTACTCCCCAATAGCTGTCAATGTGTAACTAATTAACCTATTAGGGGGGACACATAGTATTTTCGTATCATTGTTTCGATAGAAAATCTTAATATGTAGTTTCCTGCAAAGTTTTAATTGAATTAACAATTTTTGGTGTGGATTAAGCTAAATGAACTTAATGAAGAATTATTGGAAGAGAATATTCAAATTGTAACATTTGCATTTGTGTCCAACCAAAGAGGTCGTGCCAATTTGATGAGAAATCTAAGAGGGAAAACGCATGTCACATTGTGAGGTCATACCTTTTGGACAACACAAACCCCCCATATCGTTTGGTAACACATCACATGTCGTTCCTTTAGGGCAATCCTCTCTTATGGGACCAAATCCACAGAATAGGGGCACCTCGTCTCGACTGACTGGTTTTCTACATTCCGTATAGGGTTTAGCTTTAGTCGGAATAAACAATATCATATATTTTGAGTAAATTTTCACTTTTAGTCATTTGCGCATTTTTATATAAGTTTCAAATTGTTCCAACCACCTTGATGAATTTTGCAAAAATCTATTTTCGTGAGTTATAAAACCAACATTATTTATATTTTCAAACCACAGATGTCGCTGACTTTTCCCGGATATTGATGGGCGTTTAACACCCATTCTCAATAAGAATGCAAAATCGATGTCCCAGGGCTCAATCTCAGCATTTACATTACCAACATCACTTTTTGTTGTATATATAAATAGTACATATGACCCTCTACCTAGCACATATGTAATATATAATTTCTCAGTTACACCTATTTTATTATATGTACTAGAATAGGGCTATTCATCAGTTACGTGACTGTCGCCATATCAAAAATCAGGATTGTATGGTGCCATTAGAACACTTTCCATGCGTTACATCCCATATAAAGTGGTGTTTTATACACAGGACGATCCCAGCTTCTGGTTAAATGACAGAAACTATCATTTTGACATATTTACCATGTTGAAAATGTTCCTTGACAAATGTCGCCAGACTTTTGTATATCAACCCCCTTGTGCTATAAATCATATAAAAACTGGTGAAAAATTAATGTTTTATATGTGCCATATTCGTATCTGGATTCCAATTTGAATACTTAATAGAACGTCGTATAAGTTGATATTTGAAACGTTGAGATTTGGGGGCCAGAAAATTATAATTCCCGTTTTCATGAAGTTATAGATAAGAAAATCATTTACGTGATCATAGTTTCCACAGGCAATAAGTGTCTGAGCATATTAATGTTATATCACCTTATTGTATGGTAGGAGTGACCCTGGCTGATCAGTATTTTTAACTAAATTGACATTGTTTGAATATAATACAGCCAGCAAAAGGGTATTTGCATCATTTACGACACCATCATTTACGATACCTAGTAGTACGAAAATAACGGTTACCATACTCCTAGCTCTGAATAAAGTTTATAAAGCGGGAAATTTGAGTATCCATATTCATTTGAATCTGAATAAAGAAACACTACCACCTTTTTAGAGTAAATCCACACAATTTAAGGTATATATCACACCTAATATAGTATCTCTCTTGTTAAAAGAAGATGTAGTGTTAATTTGATGTTATCTATGGCATAAACACAGTCGGTATAAATGTGAAAATGAACATAAAAACACTTTTCTATCATTCATTTTGAAGTGAACCTATAGTCTTGCGTTTTCTATGTCATAAATTACGTTACCCATGGTAACGTAATTCATAAATTCTATTTCACACATTTTCTATCGTCAAATCTTTACAGATATGTTCATTTATCAACTTGTACTTTTCGTAGATGGGAAAGCATCCTGCTGAAATTCAAGAAGACTATCGTGATAGGAAAAAAGCACCAAATAGAGCGTGCTCGGGTTCATAAATGCATTGTCTCAATAGCTGCGTGCACTATCTGAAAAGATAAAGACCATAAAAGAAAAAAATATGTCATTGCGTCCGAGACATGTTATGTTAGTCTCAGATAGCGTAATAATACAGGAGACAAATCAAAAAGAAGAAAACTGTTAGCAATGACCCAAGTAATGCCGATAACAATGATTGTGACCGTGTTTATGACAGTGGTACAAGTAACACACAATTTATAGTTCATATTAATTTTGCCTGGAATTTTGCAAAAAGGACATGCATGGCTCTTTAGAAAATGGATAAGTAGAACTTGGGGACGTACGTACCCATAAGAAAACAAAGCTCCCTGAACATAGATAAACATGGAAAAAACAATCACAAATCATTCCCAATGATCTTACAGAAGCAGAGAAAAATAGAATGAAGGGTCCAAGCACGCCAAAAACACCAAAGAGTGCAGGGGAAAAGTGATGCGATGCAAACTTTAGCATAGTGATATCCCTAAAGTTGAGGAGAAGATTACTACGAGGAAAACACGTAGTTGAAGAGGCGAAGCAGACGCAACATGACTGGCGGGGAAATGCCTGAAAAGTGTTCAAGTCTAGTTGATATAATATTACTAAAGGCGATGGAAGATGATACAAGCTTAAGGGCCTTGCCTGGCTGGACAAAAATGAAATGAGTACCCGACGTTTACCACAAGCAAAGGAATATTTTGTTGAAGCAAATAAACAGTGTTAAAAGTGCACCGCACAAAATGAAACGAACCAGGAATGACATACAAGAAGAGACAACCAAGAGTATTCTGACAGGGCCATCATGCGGACTGAGAGTGGAGATAAAGAGCTACATCTTGGCGATTTTTTTCACTGCAGTTTACAATACTGTTGGTATGTCGAAGAGGCACTGCATGTGATACTGATGATGATAAATACTATTTTTTAGGAAAAGAAGAATCTCCAATGGTCTCTAGAATGTTACGTTATTTGGCTGAGAGTCTCAGATTTTGAGTGTGTAGTAGAGGAGTCAATTCCAACAGGGAAGTTTAAAGGGCTATTTAAACTCTAGATCTGTGTCCTGAGATTTAAACTCGTGTTCTATGGGATCTATATGTCCAAGCTGGGATTAAGTAACGTTTTCAGGAGTTCATACGAGGGGTGATCAGGAATTTCTGGACCGTTGGCTCTATTTTTGCCATTTGTTATCCTTTCTTAGTGATTTTTTTACACAATATAACCCAAATATATAGACTCATACCATGAGGATTTCACTGTTCTATGAAATCATTATCCTTTTATTTTTGTTACTATGGTAACCGGTGACGCGACAAGGTGGAGCTCAGAAAAATACCAAATTTGAAAAATCAACAGTAGTAGTCCCCGATCTGATTTCCAAAAGGGCTCTAGAAAAGGGGTTTTGTTGTCCGGTACTTTCCCACATAAAATGATTGTACCGTTTGAAAGAACAGACTTCCCTCTTAAAGAAAATACCTCTTCTATTGATGTAAACAGGGGCAAAAGGCACCAAAACGGGGTTAGACAAGGTGGCATTCTGAAGTCTCACTTTCTTGTCATCACGATTCCAGGTAAACCATTAGACGGATTTACTTCAAATTTTCACACATGTTACATGGTAAGAAGTTCTAGAGCTGATTAACTTTGCGGCGGCCATCTTGCATTCTGGCGGCCATCTTGGAATTTTTTTCAGATAAATATTGTCATCGCGATTCCACAAAAAACACATAACAGATGTACTTCAAATGTTCACACATGTAACATGGTAAAAAGTCCTGGACCTCATTATTTTTTCGGTGGCCATCTTGCATTCTGGCAGCCATCTTGGAAGTTTAAAGATAAATCTTGTCATCACGATTTCAGGAAAACCAAACGGATTTACTTCAAATTTTCACACATATTACATGGTAAGAAGTTCTAGAGCTTATTAACCTTTCGGTGGCCATCTTGCATTCTGGCGGCCATCTTGGAAGTTTTTTGGATAAATCTTGTCATTGTGATTCCAGGAAAACCACTTTACTGATTTTCTTGAAACGTTTACACATGTTACAAGGAAGGTTACATGCTACCTTTTATATTGATATAAACAGGGGCAAAAGGCAGTAAAGTGGGGTTACACAAGGTGGTATTCTAAAGAGAATGTTATCTATGTTTCTGTATTTTAAACCACATAATTTGACATAAATGCATATTTGGTGTATGATATCATGTTTTATATTGATAGAAACATGGGCAAGAGGCGCTACAATGGGGTAACACATGGTGATATTCTAAAATACATATTTTTACTCTGCTTCTGTACTTTATACCACTTAAATGCATTTTGTGTATGACATCGATTGATTTTTAGAATAAATAACTACATTTCATCAAAAAGAAAAAAGATTATTGAAAACGTCAAACATTTCTTTGAAATCCATTATTGCACAGCAATTTTTGAGAGCGAAATGTATGCTAAATTGGCCTTGATCTGAGTATATAACGGAATTAAAGCTCTTTTAAACGAAAATATAAATGTGTGGAAAACCTTTCACTGTGCATCATGTCAGCGAAATGTTCTTCATGCAGTTGAATTATCTTCTGGACAGGTGATCACACAGAAGGAGAGACCTGCGTATCATATCCTTACTAAATATAAACAAAAATGACAAATGAGAAAGGAAAAAAGTGTAAAGCAACCTAGTGGGAAAAGCAAACTGTAAAGTGTAAAACTGGCAAACAAAAATCAAACCTGAATATCCCAAGACAATAATCTAATATGGGAATAAACAGCATCCACACCGTTCAACGACCACAACTCCGAGGGACATTCCATTCATACTGAAGTCATTAAAATACATGTTGAAGAAAAATTGAAATAATGATATCCAATACTCATAAGATCGAAAATAGTTGTAGAGACTATAGTACTCATAAAAGCTGCAGATAACGTTTGTTCATCGAGAAAGCAAGCTGTCTCTTAGTCAGATATTAACTAACGAGCTTGTTCAGAGCACCAGCATGTCAACTATGTGAATGGGCTCTGTATCCACAATGTTGCGAGTTCGAGACACATGTGCTCTTTGCGTTTAATAATCAACAAAAATCACTTAAACCTGCACTAAAACTGTGTATCAGATCAATATAAGTATAGAGTTTGGAAACTAATTGTACCAACAAAAAGAACTTAATAAAAAACACTGCTACAATATCAACATAAGCTTTCAATAGTAGTGACGATGCAGAAACATGCAAAATGTCACCATACCTTGTTAAGTATACAGTACACATTAACTACTGAACAGTGTCAAGATAAACGTTCGAAGCTATTACAATATGTCACCTAATCACTAGTGGTGGTGACATAAAAATAATGTATAGAAACATCTACTGAACCAAAATAAACTTTGTGATAGAACTGATTGTTTACTCTAACATGTCTAAGTTTTCAACTAAATATATTTCTAATAAGCAATGTTTTATCGAAAAGAAAAAATAATTTCATGTTATATAAAATCAAATAAATTAATTATATTTTTTTTCGTTGTGTTAGTTACACCAATAATAATAA